CCGCTATAAAAGACTGGACATCATCGTTGTGTAGTAGGTGTGTCCCCGGACCGTATATGAAGTATGGCAGTGCGTTAATTATACAGGACAGGGCTAGTACTAGTTCACCAGCAGCTATCATACGCGGCCTATTAAATCGGTTTCCAAAATATCCGATTATTGGACTCACCTTTTAATAAAAAAAAGTTAACTTTACCAAACCACTGTGCATAAACTTTATGAATTAGTTTATACCTAGTAATTTACTTTGTTTAATATAATCTATTAATAGCAGTAAAATTTTAACAAGTTTAGGTTTAATCGAGTTATTAAATATATAATAATGTTTAAACTAATTTTTTTTGTATAATCAATAAGTTATTAATAATAGCCACTGACCAGCATTTCTACGAAATTATCGGCGATTAATATAAAGCCCCCGATTTTGGAGTCGAAGGCATACCTCTTCTCCAAAGTGCTGAGGGATGCGATCAAAAAGGTTCCGGTCATAGACTGGATGATACCTATGATGGCAAAGTTGATGGTGAAGTATACGGGATTGGCGAACACCTGTAGCCATTGGGGTCGCCACGAGCCTATGCCGCACGTGGTAAGGGTCGGGTCCTCATCATCACTGTCTTGTCTGTCATTATATCTGTCAATTGGTCTCAACTTTGAGACCTTTTGGTGGTCGTTATCATCACTTCCCACCAGTTCATAGCTTTTAGACATACTTTTTGTCTAATTTCCTTTATATAGTTATTTTTATTGACTAAACAATAATTATATAATAAACTCAACTTTGAGACCTTTTGGTGGTCGTTATCATCACTTCCCACCAGTTCATAGCTTTTAGACATACTTTTTGTCTAATTTCCTTTATATAGTTATTTTTATTGACTAAACAATAATTATATAATAATTTGTAATTAAAAATTGTTATGAAAGTTAAATAAATACTTTGAATAAATAAATAAATAAGGTGTGTAACTGTTTTATTGTAACAATAGTGCATGAAATTGAATTCAAATGTGAGAAAATGTTGAGATTATGTGTGGAAAGTGTTTCAAATGTGGGCTGACATGAGATAACGGGTTGTCTTTGTATTCGCAACCAAAGCGACCACATATTTATACACCAGTACTACCGCATACAAGTGTGGGGGACCTTATCATTACATACACTTAATATCAGATTATCTAAAGTCTTATAATTGTTATAACTTATAGCTTATAACAAACTGACTTCATACCTAAAGTATGAAATAATGTTGAATAAAATATGGTTTAATAATACAGAATTTCATATACGTTTAGTAATGTAAAGTCCAATACAGGTAATGATATCAGTGTTTATCTCATATCAAACTCAAATATTGTGTGATAAACTCGATGTTAACTTAAATATTTGTTATATTCTTTGTGTGTTTTGTATTATTTACTTAATTAAACTCAAGGGAACATACTATTATCAATTGGAAAAGTACTATGGTGCAATTATTATTCAATGCTAATATGGAAGTGATGCTATAGTTTTATACAAATAGTTTTGTTGTTGAGATTTTTTATTTAAATAAATATTTATGAGTTTAAAAACAAAACAAAATTATGTTACACAGATAAGTGTAAAGTATTGCAATATTATTTGTGATTTGTTAATGTTAATCAATCAAATATTAAGTGCATCCAGTTCTTATATTCGTTATATAATCCAGATAAGATTAAAGATGTTTATTACTTGTAATATAGTATAAACAAAGTAAATGTTAAATACCATAAAATATTTAAACAAAAATAAACTTTTTATTCACATTAACAATTTAGTAGTCAATTTATTGTAGAATAACTACGAAATATAATTTTATTTAATATTTTTATTATTCACTAATTTTGAGAAATAATAGCACCATAAATGATAAAATCTGTGAAATTCAAATGCCACATTTAAAACTATTTGGCAGTAAGTTTTAAAAATAAATATACATGCCTCATATCCTTTAAATTGATTTATAATGAATAGTTTCCAACAATAAACTACCTAAACTTACCTAGGTACTCGTATGAATTACCTAGGTTAATTTTTCACAATTATTAGCATGGTCATTTATGGTTACAATTATGACCTAACCTGGGTCCCGGAACCCACAGGGAACTTATTAGGAACTTATAGGGGACGGGTATAGTAATTTTATTATCACATTTTTGATTACCATTTGATAAAATCTGCGGGTCGAGGCGGGATCCCGTAAGACCCGCTTAACAGCTTGCGGACAACCCTCCCCCAACCCTAAAATTTTGTCGTCCCAACCCGTGTTTGGGGCGGGCCCCGCACCCAACCCGCTTTGCGGGATCCCAATTTTGGAGACTAGTCGAAATGTCTGTCAGAAAATCAAATGATAATATAATCAACTGTTAGATCTATCGCAGATTAGTTACAAACTAATTAAAATTTTAATTAATTAATTTTATGAAATATAAATTAATTAAAATTAACAAGGCATAAAACCAATAGATGGCTAAATAGGTTCCTTTAAGTCTATTAATTTATTAAATATTTTTACCACAGGATTGGCGTTAAATTCAAAATTATTTATGAATTAAACACTATTGCCATGATATACACCCCTCGAACTAACTACTGTACCTACCCGTGCGGGAAATGGATTATATCGTGAACGGATAATCCAAGCATCCTTAATCTCGTAGGGGTTTTATAGTCCCAACTTACCTGTTTTTAAAAATATACTATTAATTTACCATGATAATAGCGTAATTAAACATTGAAACAAAGTTGGCATAATTTTTTACTTAATTTGAGTTGATAATAATTCACAATATAAATATTAATTTACGTTCTAATGTATTTCAATGGGTTAAACTATTGTCGTTTAGTATTAGTAAAAACCATATTTTTTAATTACATACACTTTTTAACTCATAAATGACAAAAAAAAGTAACCATATTTGTGAAAGGTAAATCGGACACATATGGTTCAGTACTGATCTGTTTTCTGTGCTTTCAGTAATATTTGATTTCATCATCAATTCATTTAATCACAATGTCTTCGGATGGACTCAATCGCCGTAAAAGAACTGTCAATAGGAATGGCGACACAAATGAGGGGAACGTGTGTCGAGTGGTGTCTCGAGAAGTGTCGCCCGAAAGACCACAAAACCAGAGTATTATGAAGCGAGTGATGAGTGGAATGACACTCTCGATGGCTATTCTTGCAATGGTTTACTACACGACTCAATGCAATGACACCAAAGAACTAGTGATGGCTTCGGCTAATCAATCCATAAAAGATTTTCCGATAAGAAGACAAGTGATGTGTTCTCAAGACTATGACGAAGAGAGGGTTCGGTTCCCGTCTTGTACTCCTCAAAGATGCGGACGTTTTGTGTCCGATTCGGTGATCACTGAACCGGAAGCCAAACACTTGTTGTTAGTGGCGAAGAGAGGCCTATCATTGGGCGGCTCTTCGGGTGGAGTGACGCGCCTCAACGTAGACACGGGTTTGCTTTCGATAGCAACTAATTTCGTGAATATCTATAAACTCATTGAAAGGACACAACGAATGGACGAACACCTGAAAGAGCTGTTCACCGAAAAAGACTTACAAGTCTACAGAACTGTGAAAAACAAAATCCGCAAAAGGATTGCAATTCATTTCGGCGTCCCTTCGGCTCAGCTCTACTTCACGAGGACTTCTTCTTTCTTGAGAATGACGTCAAAGCGGCCCCAAATCAAAGCCGATGTGTATTGGCGCAGACATGTCGACAAACGGGAAGTTAAGTGTCTTCGGTTCACTTCTTTGCTGTATTTGTCGACATATGGCGCGGACTTCTCCGGCGGACGTTTTATATTCACAGACGAGATGTCGAACCAAACAATTGAGCCTAAGTTCGGAAGAGTCGCGGCGTTCACCTCTGGCTCAGAGAACGAGCACTTCGTCGAAAGGGTCACCTCTGGGGCGCGATATTCTCTGCTAATTGGCTTCACCTCTGACCCTAAGTTCGCCGTCAAATACCTACAAGTTGTTAGACCGCAGACATGCGCTCAACTATTTTGTTTTTTGTATGGAGTAGGTTGTCCAAACTTGAATTTATATCCTCACCAACAAATATTACCGAATATAGACTAAAGTAAACTAGATAAAGGAAACCATAAATTAAAACATTTTTTAAATAAATATTAATTTAGTGTGTTTAAGTTGAGTGAAATGAGAACTAATTAATAATGACATTAAAATCTTGCCGTAAATGAAAGAAATTTTCATTCAAATTTAAGGCTTAAATAACTATGATTCACTATAAATGTAATATATTATGTTGTAAATGATATTGTAAGGAATGACCAGCTCTGTGGCCAACGCGCTACGGTTGTGACTATGGAAGATATTTACCGTTAAAATTTTAATTAATATTTTAAGTTCAAGTATTTTCAAGTATTATTGAGTTAAGTTTCAAGTATTCAAGTTTTCCGATCTGGTCGCTCTACTGTCAAGCTATAAATAGATTGTAGAAATAAATGGACGTGTAAACTATTGCACGAATAGGTTATACTTTATTGTATACTAACAATAAAATTCTGTGTATTCATAGATTGTATTCAAAAAGTGTATTGTATTTTTGAATTCATTTCAAATATAACTCAGATTTTGCTATAAGTTTTGTTAAAAAGTTTTAATTAAATATATTTTGTGATCAAAATGAAGAGTTTAATTATAAGTTTCGTATTGTATTATACATTGAGATTCAATGGACGTGTGAATGGTTTTAACAGTGATTTCGCAAAACTTGAGAATCTCTTAACACAAGAAAAAGCAATGATTGAGTCGTTGAGTGAATATCTGGTGTCCGAAGATGTCCTCAATTCTCGCTTAAGACGACTGACAGACAACTCATTGAGTTTGAACTCAATTGCACTGAAAGACGACACCGAGGGCTTACTTTTAGGACATCCACTCGACGTATATCTCCTCATCAGACGAATGGCTATCGACTGGAAAGAAGTGAAGGATTTGTTGCGAACCAAAGACCAGCGCTTAAGTGATGTCCAAATGAGACAAATCGGTGGTCACTCTAACCATACAAATGCATTGAAGTTTGACTCGCAGTGTGTGTCCAGTAGTCATGAAATTATCACTAATAAGGAGCTAAAAGGTATTTAAAGAAGTTTTAGTTAATAATAGATATGTTAATGAAAATGATTGACAATTCGTGGACAGACGCTGCGTATGGCGTTATAAGTCTCATCAATACTTATGATTTGGATATCAAGTCATTAGCGAATGGATTCATTAGATCTAAGACCAGTTCCGGTGCTGAAGTGACTTCAAATGGAAATCAATCCAAATATGCTTTAAATGCTTTCGACTGCTATTTGATTGGAAAACAAACCTTTGATAACAAGGAGTACTCGGATGCAAAGCAATGGTTGACAGAAGCGATCGATAGATTGGATGACATGACCAGCGATGAGATAATTGCAGACATTTTTAATTATCTGTCGTTTTGTGAACTGAAAAGTGGAAAAATAAGTGGAGCCCAGAAATATAAGAGACTGTCGGCCGCTATAAAGATAAAACCTCCTAATATGATACCGATAGCCATGGGAAGTACAGATGTGGTACCTGTGATGAAACTGGCACTGGAACTCGATTGTCTGAACTGAGACTCAATATATTTGGTTTTGTTTATATAATATCCACCAAAACCTATGTATCGAAACACTCCTCCAATCATATGAAACATAAATATAGGATTTTTGGCCAAACGCTTGACACCCGCTGTTATGCCTGTAATCATTAATTCAAGGTTTGAATAAATTTTTAAATGATTTCTTACGTGAAAATAAAATTAGATTTGTAGACAACTATTACAGAATATTCTGTTTTATACCTTTGAGTCCTTCGATATTGTCTTTGAGATCCTTGGCCTTAACGGTCGCTGTTTTGAGTTGTTTTGGGAATAAAAACATTGGAATAGTGACTATGAATAATAGGAATCCTATTATAAGAAACCCAATCCACCATGCTCCTATGAAACGTGGGTCACGCCTCTCTATACCAGGATCATCTGATCATGTATAAAATAAAAAATAAATAATATATAAAATACTGTACTAATTTTGGTAATATTTTATACCAGTATATTAACGATAATATCTAATATCTACTGTATAGAATATTCTGTATTCAAGTATACATAATGTAAACAACATATACTTACAAAAGGGATTCTCATAGAATCGCAGTGAGAATGAGGACAGTATGAACCCACCGGCCGGTCCTATGAGTCTCAAAGACGTGAGAAAACTGAAATAAAGGGGAGAATTGTTTTTCTGGACGCTGTCGTCGATGTAAGGCATTCCGATCACCCAATAGGCTGTATATCCCAGTCCTCGACACGAACTGCCGATTAGTAGCAGTATAACCG